GACTCCATCTCCTTGGCCGAAGTCTGGCATCCGCCACCGAAGACTCCGAAGGCTCCCCACTGTGATCCGCATTTAAAACAATGGATGGGCGACCCTTGGCTGCGAAATCGCTCCCAAAAGCGAGTCCTTCGGGCCGAGGACCTGCCCGATTAGGACGCATAACAAAGTAGAATTTGTGTAAGTTCGTATTTAACATGCTTTATGCATTCCTCAATTATAAATAGATTAAAGTCCCGAATAGACTAAAGTTAAATGTTAACTTTCCGGCCAAGGCGGACACCATTCACAAAGCAATTAACGCAGCCTTCCTCCCTCTACTCCCTTTACCCCCTCTACTCCCTTTACCCCCTCTTAGCTTTTAGGCCGAAAAGGAAAGGAAAGGCAGGAACCCAATTTAACTGACTGCCAACTTTCCACAATCACTGCCCATCATCAATTTCAGATTTTGTTGTATGTTTTATGAAGCAGTCAAGGCACAGGACAGCCGCCCGTCAACCAGACACTTGGACAGACAAACAGACAGGCTCAGAGACAGTCGGCGATTGGGTGGGTGGAAAGTCGTAGGTGGGTGAGGAGCTGATGGGTGAGGAGGTGGGTGGGTGGCAATGGGTGGTTACGGGTGCGGCTGGCTGGCTGGAAAGTGAAAACAATGCCTGGCCGCAATCGGCTGGGCAATGGCTGTCCGGAGAGCAGGAGGAGGAGACCGCCTGGCGAGTGTGTGCGGATGCTCCTTGCCGAGTGTTTACTTAACCGTAAGCCTGACCCACCGACCCCCAACCCCCCAACACCGGGCAACCAACCCACCACCCCATCGAACCCCCGGCGGTGTGCTGAACTTGAACCACATGGAACAACAAAGGCGAACAGATAAAGCAGCGACGGGGAAAAAAGGGTTGGCGTCGGGCGTCTTAAAGGATTGCTCAAGTTGGCCAAAACCAATATGTAAATGTGCGTGTTGTGATTAAGCACAAAAGCAAAGTAAGCCAGATACAAGGACGACCAGCGGACAGACGAACGAACGGACCGACGGACCGACGGACGGAAGAGTTTTCTTGTCCGAAGCCAAAGTCCCGAAAGCCAAAATCTCCAACCGCACCGCACACACATAATGTGGGCCAAAACGAAGCCAAGCAAAAACGCAGCCTTGGCTAACTTTACACACCTCAAGTGTTTGTTTAGGTTGCTCTGCTTTGCTTGGGGTTTTGCTTTTTGTTTGAGCGATGGCCGGGAAAGGGGAAACACTTAGGAAAAATTACCAAAAAAGGAGGATTAGTGCAACTCGTTGAACTTAAGAGAAAACCATTTCTCAGTGCCGAAAAGTAGTTTCGCCGGCCCGAAAAAGTTTTCAAGGGAGCGCAAATAATCTGAAATATGGATTTTAGTTTTAGGGCAAGTGTAAAATTTAAGTTTAACAATGTCAGTTATTGGATTTTAAGGCTTAGGGTAAGTAACAAAATATTTTGAATTATTTTTAGAAGAAAATAAATGAAGATATATTTGTTTTACAATAGACACAATGGGAAAGCAATGATTATTTATTTCATGTAACTACTATTCATGTTTCTTCAACCCCATAAAATTCAAGGCTTTTAGGACAGTGTAATGTTTTAAGAAAATTATTTTGTTCTCGGTGGCCATTTGACGCCTTTGTTGTTTTTGGTCAGCACCATTATAAATCTTTTTCGCAATGTAGGAAGCGATCGGGGCCTGAAACCCTCACCTTCTGGAGCCAAAGACAATGGCTTGGAACCCTATTAGCGTGTAGCAATCCTGCTCGACAGCCTCTTCCCGCAGGAATGTGTGGAGATTCCAGGGGTACGCCCATAAATCGCAGCCGCCAGGTGAGCGGTAAGTGGGTGCTGGATGCTGGATGCTGGATGCTGGTGAAGGGGAGAAGGTGAAGGGAGGGGCTAATGGGTCACTCCTTGATGTATCACACAAACAGACACAAATGATACTTATGCCGCCGCAGTTGCTCCTTTACCGCTCCTTTTCTCCGGCGGAGGAGCCGTGCGGCTTCTTCTCATGGACAGCAGACGCGCTCCGCTTGGTGTAATAAAAACTAAAATCCGCACAACAATATGTGCGAGGATAATGCCATTTCCGTTTTATGGGAAATCCTGTTAGTCCTCCGTCGTGTGTGTGAGCGCTCGCATGTGCGGCTTCCTCAAGGAGCCCGAATCCTGAATTCCGAATCCCGTATCCCCTATCCCGAATACCGAGTACCGAATCCCGGCGAACGAGTTACGACTACACCGGCCAAAAAGAATAAGCCCGGCGAAGAGCTATTGCGGTCGCCCTGGCAGTGATGGGTTGCCATATGCCTTATGCGATAGGATTCGCAGGACGTTAAGGCGGCGATGGCATGCGTGCCGGCCGGGAATGAATGGATCAGGGATCAAATTTTATGGATTGCCCCGGCGCTCCGTACGCGCACTCCGCCGCACTCACATAGTAATGAAGTCGGAACTAAGAAATAAATTCCGCAAAATTTCATTATGCGGCGGAGTGGGAGTCGCAGGGAATTTAAATCGCAGAGGTTCAATAACAGTGCGTGGGATCGAAAAGTTATTGGTTGGGCTTCCGACTTTCCTCCACAATTAATTTATTAACTTTGCAGTAAATCTTCGAGAAGTGCCAGCCCGAAGTTTAAGGTCTACATTATGGATTCGATTTACTAGAATTTAAAGGTTATAAAATGCAGGCTTTACTAGATAAAATAGTATTTTGTGACATGGTGGTTGGTTATCTCCAAGTTCGTAATGCAAATAGTTCTTAATAACTTATGAAAACTACAAAGAATAAATAACTCTTGTACGAGCGGAAACTCGCCCACGGACTTACAATCAGCTAATCTGTCTTACATATTTGCATATCGCCTCGGCTTCAGCTTGGATTACGATGGTTATTCATTAGCCGCATTCCTGGACGCCCTCGGCCGGCAACTAGGACACTTGCTGCGGTTGGCCGCAGGACTCTCGTCCTCGCCTCGTCCTCCAAGGGCTCTCTATTACCATCGCTTTGCCAGCCATAACTAGGCAAACCTTTTTGCTCAGTGTGTGTGCGGAACGGCAGGAAAAACAAACGTCCGACTTTCGCCAGAGTGTGAGTGTGTGAAGGAAAAAGCGCAACCGGAGAAGAGATAGATGGACAGGGGGCGAGGGAAGAGAGGGGAGTGAAAAGGGAAGAGGAAAAGGGGAGAAACGGAAAGCCGGAGAGTAAGAAAAACCATAACTAAATCCATTGCCATAGGAAAATCCAAAGCAAAGTCTGCGATGCAAATAGTAGAGATTATGGGACTGCAGATGTATGAAGAACGAGAGCGAGATGGAGGTGGAGATGGCAGTGGCAATGGCGATGGCGATGGAGATGTAGCTGGATATGGAAGCTGAAACCCAAGGCGCGGCTCCAAAAGGGGTTTTCCCAGGCTGCGGGGGGATGCGGGGGATTCCGGCAGAAGGTGTTATGTGGACGTGGGCACGAGTGTGTGAGGCACAATAAATCTTGCGAGGGTGCCGAATGGCCAGGCGGCGGAGCCCGAGGCCTCCGGTCTGGATCCTGGCCATTGGCATGGATTTGAGCCGGGACTTTATCCCCATCCGCCAGCCCTTTCCATCGTATCCTCCAACCTTTATCCTTCATCCGCCCACCGCGCTGCCCCGTCAGTGAAAACCAAAACCAAATAAAACTGACATTATGCGAAAAGCGAAAGCCATAACTAAAAGTTGGATAACGTGGCCATGATGATGGAGCCGACGTGGAGTGGGCGAGAAATCCGGCTGAGGAGCAGCCGTAAAGTTGATACTGAAGCAAAGAGCAGAGCTTGCAGGGCGGATAAGTCGAAAACAAATCGGAGATGCCATTGTCGAGGGTGCTGGACCATCAAGTACCTTGCAATTTCCGCAAAGTGACAAACCGAAAGGTTTGCATATCTCTTTTTATTAAATACAGATTAACCATCGAATATAAAAGGAATATTACTTTCTTTGTTTATTGCTAGAAAATATCCTGCTCGAAACTCTATTTGGGTCAAGGATTCTAACTTTTGTCAGCAAAGAGCGTTTCAAAAATTTCAGCTTAACACTGCAGCTTGTAATAAACATTTGACTGCTGAACTAAAAATTTTATATAGTGGTGATGATATCCTCCTTAAATATTTTATACTTCGAAAATTTCATCAGCTCGTTGAGTAATTTTTAATTATTATGAGGGTCTGGAATAAGTTTAACCGGAAACTATATAAGCATATAATGGAGTTATGGCTCTGCAAAGAGCTTCTTATATTATAGTGCTTTTAATAAAAAATGTAGGTCTTGGTAACTCCATTCATTCCTCGCTTGTCTGAGCATAAAGTGAAAAGTTTATTTGTTACGAGCAGTCGGTTCAAGTGGATTATAAACACGAGTACCTTTATATACTATTATTTACTATCGGAATCAGAACTACTGTTTACTTATGATGCAAGAACGTGTACTCAATCGTCATTCCATGTCGAAGCAAACAACTTCAAATTATCTTTCTAATTGCTGCGCTGGAAAAACCCGAGTCACTCCAACAGGTTTCAATTGGTACAAGCCAGGAGCTCTTTATTGGATCATTAAATCGTGGGGAGCTGACCTAAAAACTGAGACCGCTTGAATGCTGCTAAGCGAGCTCAGTTTTCTCCTTAATCGCTTACAGGGCCGCCCAGCACCACCTTGTAGTCCGCGAACCCACCGCACCGCCGCACCACCTCGCCTCCGAATGCACCACAATGGATTTGCCACAGCAAACTCCGGCACGAGCTGGATATTCTCCGATTTTACCCTTTCGATGTTGGGAGTCGGCAGTTTGGAGTTGGGGCAGGGATATCGGGTATGAAAAACAGAAACAGGAAAATAGAAATGATAGCAAAGTTGCTAGGCAAAAAGGGGGAGGGGAAGGGGAAGGGGGAGGGGAAGGGAGGGAAAGGCGGACCTGCTGAAACGGAAATCGACTTTGGTAAGGAGTTTTTCTCGTACCTGTGAATCGGAATCTGAACGCTGGCGCTGCACCGAAAGTTATGCAAATGCGAAGTTGTTCGTGCCTGCTCCTGGCTGCCGAATCCTGCCGCAGGATCTGCTATTGGTGTTGTTGCTGCTCCTGCTGGTTGGATGGTTGCTTCTACCCTTCTTCCACTTCCACTTCCCCTCCTCCTCTGGTGTCAATCGAAGGCGATGTCGCGAGTGCTAATGACGTTTGCTTTGATTGCGCCCCGCACTCGAAGCCAAAACTGAGCCACAACTCACAACTGTCATTTTCGAGGCAGCGAGGTTTGCACAGGGTTCCAGATTCAGATCGAGACCGAGATATAGCTATATCTGTTCTATATGCGAGTGTGTGTGCTGCTGGGTGTCTATCTCAGCTGCTCACTCCGTCCTCGGATGTCTATTTATTTAATTTGCATGCGATTTTCAATTTTTATGCGGAATACTTGGCATTGACAGCAAACGATGCGCACATTTCGCATCGGCAATGCACAATAGAAATTGAATTGCAAAAATTTGTTTGCCCGTCCAGGGCAGCAGGCAAATGGATTGCGAGCACAGTGGAATGGCGGATTTTGAGGGCTCTTCACGTCTTCACGTCCTCACGCCAATGTGGCAAGGAGTCGAAGAAGGGCGCCGAAGAAGAAGTCACGGAGCCGGGAAAACAGGGAAAGATTCAAGGAGCTGAACGAGCGCGAGTTGGGCGCGCTCAGGAAATCGCACAATTTGGCGGCGAGGATGTCAAGTATACGCCGCGTTGCGCTGCCACACTGACTGCAATTACAATGGGCCAGCAACAGCAACAACAATGCCGGGGATATGCCGGCTGCCACACACAGAGGCACTCGCACACTCCGCACTCCGGCAACTGAAACTGCAACTGGAGCCGCAGATACGTACGCTCCGCTCCGCAGGATCCGGAGGAAAGTCTGAGTCTGAGTCTGATTCTGAGTCACGAGCGAGGACAGGCGACAGATCCTGGCGAAGCACTGCACGCACACACCGATGCCAAAAAGACGCGCGAAATTTGCGACAAAAAACCAAAACAAAACAACAACTTCGTCCGTTTGGCTCGCTTTTGGAAACTCGATTTGAAAACTCGGCCGCTTGCACCACCGAACGCTCCGAAACTGAATTCGCAACTGAAGCAGCGGCGAGCAGGATGCTGCCATCTGGAGCCGAGTCGCCAGGACGAACGGGATGCCGACACGGATGCTTCGGATGCTGCCTCGTAGAGCTTTTTCCCCGAGAGCAAAAGGGAGAAAGAGAGAGAAGAGACATAGAGAGAGAGAGAGTGCTGGCATTGGCGACGTGTGACTTCGTTAAATTTCTGCGGCGACAGCACACAAAACGGATTCGGAAGCGGAAGTAGCAAGTAAGCGAGCAAGGAGCGCTCTGTATGTGTGTGTGTGTGCTGTGTGCTGTGTGAGTGCGCCTCTGTGTGGCTGTGTGTGTGTGTGAGTGGGCGGGCCGAGTGGGCGGAGTGAAGTGGGCGCTGAAGTGGGCGAAGTAGCACCAAGTGGCTGGCTAAAGTCGACTCGCGGAGCACGACCAGAATGGAAGTTTTGTGTTTGTGTTTTGCAATGCCAACTAAACACACATGCACAAAGGTCCGCACACACACACATGCATATACTCGTATATGTGTATATATTATAACCCATACATACTTGCGCCGTGGCATCAATATTCACATTCGCACTTGTGCGAGTATTTTCTGATTTGCTGCAATCGCGTTTGCCAACAACAAACTTGGCTAACACAACGGCTGCGGGGTGGGGAATTTTCCAGCGGATGTTTGGTAAATCTTTGGCGCCGGATACCAGCGCTGTCTTCCCACCTCCCCCAATTCCTCACCCCCAGATCACCGCCCCCGTGAGACTCGGTTAGACTCTTCCCATATCTTTACATCTTGGCAATGCACTGGGAGAAAACTCAGGGAACTAATTAAAATCTATCTTTAAATGTATTATTTTTTAAAGAAATTGAATAAAATGCAAAAGAATAATGATGACCCATTTTATTTATCAGTTTAAATCAATTATGATCAATTAACAATTTAAAAGGAATATATCAAACTTTATATACGACTATGCAGAAATTAATTTCGTTGGATGACATTTAATTTCTTATAAATCTCAAAGATTTTTCCCAGTGCATAAGAGCTGCACCCTTGGGTCTGTATGTGTGGGTATCGATAACTAATAAAAGCATTACATTTATGTTAGAGCCAAGCTCCCCGCTTCCCCCTCCGATTCGCCCTGAGCAATAATTCAGTTTTCATTTCTCTGTTTTCCTCAGTTTCTCATTTTCATTTTGCAGCCACTGCATGTGTGCCTTTCCCCCTCCTTGCCCCATCATGCCTCCCCTCTGTTCGACCAACGTTTTCGCCACAGTCACGGCCAGCTAATTGGAAACACTTGCCAGCTGCGGTTTCTTGGCCTGTTTTGCGTTTCGGGCTTCTTGGGGAGCTGGCTGCCGGTGTCCCGTTTAGTTGCCAATTGCTTAGTTGATTTTCATTGTCTGCCCTTTGGGCCACACTCACGCTCGGCTTGCCAGGTGAAAGGGAGGGGGAAGGGGAAATGGGAGCGGGAAACTAAGAGTGGGAAAATGCAGGAGGTTTTCCGCTGTATTGGCTTGTAAGTGAAACGATAAACGCTGTAGCTCGCTGTCATTAATTGGCTGCCGGTTGATGTTTATGTCGTTAGCTCTTCGTTACTGAAAGAGGGAAAAGCGGATTGGAAGCTTAATAATCTTTTCACATTCAGCTGCTCCCAGTGATTTTCCCCCAGCCCCTCCGCACCGCCGCTTTTTAGCTTCATATTCAATTAACTTTTGCAGGACAAATCTAAGCGGGTTCTGCGGAGGACACTCGCCTGAATGTTAATTAATAATGTTTGAGCTTGTTCCTGTTCCTGGTATCTGCTGCTAGTCTGCTCCCCAGATTGTCTGGCTGGTGGGGCTATTTAGGCTGCCAAGTCTTCGTCGGCGAGCAGCCACTATCCCCATTTCCTCGCCTCAAAAGCGGCTTCCGCCTGATCCTGAGAGCCTCGTCTTCGCAGGCAGCAGGGCAGCAGGTCCTGCTGGTTGTGTCAGGCTGCGTTTACCTGCGAGCGGGGCGAAAAGAAAATATCCGGTTTTCAACCGCAAACTGCACTTTCCAACCCATTGTGCCGAGCTTCATTCGTTATCCTGCTGAGTGGCCCACACAGCCAGCCAGCAAGGCAGCCAGGCAGCAGGACTCAGGACACACACACATACACACGCATGCAGAGAGAGACAGACAGACGGACAGACAGACACACGTTCGGGACATTGAATTTGTTTTGGGTTTTGATTTTTCGATTTCAGATTGCACGTTTGAATGGCCAGCAACAGCAACACCAGCAAATGCAGCAGCAACAAAAGCAAAAGTACCAGCAGCAGGATCAGGAGTAGAATCAGAATCAGAATCGCAATCAGGAGGATGACAAGAAGCAAGGACCTTCGATCGGGCAGTTCAAGGCGCAGCTGAAGTGTTGACTGCCACATTTATCGCAGCTGCATCTGCAGCCACACAAAAATATTCAATTGATTGCAAAGTGCCATGATGGTTCGGCCATTCAATAAACTAATTAAATACAAGTGACGTATAATTAATTTGCTGTCGAGCACCGATTTCTGGAGGATATCCGGGGAATTGAATTTTTGTTTATGCCCATCCTGACTAATTAAATTCACCGGTCTCTCGAGACTCAGCAGCATTGTAGCTCTCTAATTCCAGCATTGTAGCTGGAAACTCATCAATTTTCAGCTCGATTCGCTCTCGCTTGGAGCATTCAAATTGTGTTTGCATTCTCGATTTTCATATTTCTCATATTTCTGTTTCTGTTCCCGGCTGCTCTTCCAATGTTTGTCCTGCCCGTCTTGGCCAAATGGAAAAAAATCCTCGGTCGGGAATCATCTCAGTTTCAGCAGAACAAAATAACAAAGGAGGAGGAAATTGAGTTAATTTTGCAGTCGCACTCCGGGCTGGCTTTAATAAATATTTGAGTTCGTTGCCAGTAATCGGCTAATGAATCGGGAGCTAGTCGACGCCGACGGAGCTTTCCATTAGTGGGACTGATCCGGAGCGACCGGGAGCTGATTGCTCCAGGCCGAGGGCCTCCGACATGGAAAGGCTTTTATCCGCAGTTAATGCACAATGGCTGCAGTTAAAGACTGTGACTACCACTGCAACTGGGAGCTCATCAAACCGGCATGCATGGCCTGGCCACATAATTGCAAATGACACCGCAAAGGGAAGCCAGCTTCCCAGTTTCCCAGCTTCCCAGCTCGCCTTCCTCTCAGCTGCTCAGCTGTTTGGGTTCCGACTGCCGGCAAAATGTTTCAAGTCTACTCGTACTTCTGTGCTTAGCCTCTTTTCCTGCTGGTTTTATTTTTTTTTTCTCTAGTTTTTTGCCTCCCATTCTCGTAGTTTTCCTTTGAGCGGACTCGGTCCTTTGAACGGCGTGCAGCTCCAACTGTAACTGCAGTTCCAATTGCAACTGCACCTGGCAGCGCCGCCGCTTTCCGCTTTCCACTTGTTTACCACTTTTTGTTCTGGCCTTGGCTCGGCTTGGCTTTCTGCCATTGTGGCCGGTCGGTCGTTTGTTGCTTGTTTGTTGCATATCAGGGAATAAGTATTTCTGGCATTATGGCTATATGAGTGCCACAGTGCTGGGGAAAGTGCAGAGAAAGGGGAGTTGGGAGAAACGGGATGGAGACAGAGACAACTCTAATACACTTAACCCTTGGCCGGGCTGGGCTCACGGGAATCCGCTCGGCAATTTCCTCAGCTGAGCGTTTTAGGGGAGACTCTTTAATGGATAAGCACGGAGCAGCAGGGAATCATTTCAGATTTTCCCTACTTTTGTGCTTCAATGTTCTTTGAATACTTATGAATATTTTAACTCGAGAACTCCATTCCATTAATTCCCATAAAAATAAAAACGAATAGTAACAGAAGCATTATTAAACTCTATTATATTCCCGTCAAAAACTTGGCCAGACCCTCTTTATACGACTCAGGATCCCGAAGCGGGGAACAAACTTTATCTGGACCTGCGAGATGAAGTGAAAAGGTCAATCAAAGTTTTCCGAAGTATGCAAATTATCCGCTGGCCCGTTCCAGAAGGGTTAAACTGCTGCGGCAGCCGAGGCAACCGAGGCTCGCCAGGATCCCCGGATTATCGGGGCCGCCTTTCACTCGCTCTCCCCCAAAAAGCGCAAAAAGCCGGGACTTTCCACGGCAAAAGGATAGTGCGAATTGAACCGGCGCTGGATGTCTCAACTTTGCAGCTACAGCTACTGTTTCCCCCGCCGAACCACGAAAGCCGTGGCTAAAAAGCTTCTGCAACGTTTTTTGGGCCTTATGCCACTGCCATTTTTCGCGTTGTTTACCAAGTTTCCACGACTTTTGTGCTCTTTGCCGAGCTTGTTTGTTTGTTTGCCATTTTGCCACCGAGTGACTGGTGCCGGCTGCCGGCTGCCTGCTGCCTGCTCCCCTTTTTCCCACCGCCGCCTTCGACGGAATCTGCGTTATCGAGTTGATTGATATTTTTAAATTATGTGCCGCAGTCGGCATAAATTTTAAATTTGGCCAGCAGCTTCAAGACGCTGATGCTCTTAATCCGCCGTCGAGGGCTCGGCTCGTCGTCCGTGTCAAAATGCCAATCGAGAATCGGCTTCCTCCCCCTCAATCGCCTCCCCCGCTCCATCGCATCGCATTTTCCCCGGCGCCCGGCTTTCCCGATGATGATGATGTTGATTGGCGCGGCCGCTGCGGTGCTGGCCTCATTTTCCCATTTTCCCAACATCGCAGTGCGCTGGCGGCCTTAGCATAAAATTAACATTAATTTACTTGCGGTCTTTGAAGTTATTGTCGGCCGCCCGGTCGTGCCGCCGTGTTTTTTGTTCTTGTGTTTTTTGAATTATGGAGCCGGGCTGGGCCGCCTTTCCCGGCCGTCCAGCCGACCAGCTATCCAGCCGTTTGCCAGCCATTCCAGATATTGGGCCGAGATCCTCGAACAATGCGGCGCCGTGGGATTTTGGGTTGCGCCGCTTATCGAAGCGTGGCACAAATGTTATCGGCCATTTCCATTA